GGCGAGTGGCAGAGCAGCCGGACGGGCCTGGGCGCGCGCAGTTGTCGGCGCGCCGGGGTGGGTTGGGGGCAGGGGGGCGAGGAGCTGGTGGGGGCGAGGCGCGGGCCTCCTCAGCCCTGCCTGGCCTCGCATCTGGGTGGAGCAGGGGGTGCGGGTGGATCAGCGTGGCTAGGTCTTAAATATGAAATGGTTTGTTGGAAGCTCAAAATGATCGGATTTGCTGAAAAATTGTCTACACTGAAAAAATATGCAAAATAGATATGCCAAATAAGCATGCAAATGAGCCTTATTTACTTTCTATTGCTTATTATAAGTCAATGAGTGGGTGAGAACTGGGTCTTCAAGTTGAAGCATTTCTTTATTTCGAGACATAAGAAAGCGCCAGCAGCAAACCCAAAAGTCGGGTAAGACTGAGAGCGAGGTGGGTTTTGCGTATGCTGCATCAGTTTGCTGCCTCCAAAATTATTGTATATTTTGAGCACTTTTACTATTATTGATGGTACATTGTACAAGGGTTGAAATGATGGTACTGATATGGTAATGATTGTACACCTGGCAACACTGAGCTGGATCTGCCCGAGGTGGCTCGGGTCAGGCAAGGGTGTGATGTGGGGTCAGGTCAGCCCTGTGGTGTTCCCCCGGGCTCCAGACTCTCAGCAGCAGGGGGGCAGCCACCGCTTCCCCATGGTCACCAGGTTTCCAGCCCGCCCTGGGCTGGATGAGGCTGCTCCAGGGGCCGGGTCTCAGGCATCACCCCAGGGTCGAGCAGCCCCCAGTCTAGGCACAACAGTGGGAAGCTTAGTGCAGGCTTTCAGCCGTGTGGGGTAGTGTTGAATGGGCCTGGGTTGTCAGAGGTTTCTCCCTTTGGCAACCCAGTCCCATTCAGCACTACCCCAAGCCTGGCGTGGAGACCTGATGCACTGGTTGCATTGGAACAAAGGATCGTGAAGCGCAGATCAGAGAGTAATGGCAAATGGTGGCTCCCATCTTTTTTAGTAAAAGCATGGCAAGGTGGAGGGGGAAAGCAACTTGGGCTCGTGGGTTTGCGCGCAACTTGGCAAGCTATTTGCACATCCGGCCTCCGCGCAAATCATTTTTCTTACTCCTGTTGACTGTATAGAAAGTTCTTCTAAATCAAATACAGATGTGAATCTGATTCGGATCAGCCGCGTATTGTATGCATGTATGAGGAAGCCTCGAGGGCTAAGAACAAATGGTGTAATACATCGGAGAGTTTTGCTTTTCATTTTAAGGATCATCAGTTATTTCTGGGGAAAGTAAGAGGTATTGTTCTTCATGACCTGTACCAGCTGCAGGTCTTTACTGGGCAAGGCTGCCACTGTGAGTTCCAAAAACATGTCAGGTAGCAAGCCACTCAGCTCTAAGTAGGATGATGTGGCTGAGAAACAAGGACTCTGAGAACTGTGTACTAACTGGATTACTTTGTTAGTGAACTAACCTCATTTTCTTATGGTGCCAGTCCAGAAACTGTCATTACATGCACAAACAGCCGATTTGATGCAGGGAACCATAAGAACGGCAAAGGACAGACCTATTAAATTAACAGTAGGTCGGTTGTTAGAGCAGGAGCATGAACGGCGCGTGCCTGCAGCAGCTGGGTGGAGCACAGCTGCGCTGGTGGCAGCAGGAGCCCGGTGGTGGTAAGCACAGAGCTCCCATAGATGCAGCTGGCACTGGCAGGGGGTGGGTGGCGAGCACTGACCAGGAGTTGGTGACCACCCCCAGGTGCTGCCGGCGGTGGCAGCCAGGGGCGATCGTGGACCGCCCACAGATGCCACCGGCGGGGTGGCAAGGGGTGACTGCCTGCAGGGGGTGGTCTTTTTGCAGAGGGGGTGCACCACCACGCTGAGGGGGTGGACACGCACCCACGTGCACCCCCTACGTGTTGCCCCTGAGCAGGAAGTGGTCTTCAACCGTGTGATTTAAAGGAAATTTCTTAGTCATCAAAGACTACAAACTGCATGTGCCTGAATATCTGGATCTGGCCACTGTGTGCTCCTGAGACCTAAATACATACCCAGCCACCCACACACAAAGCAATTCATGCAGAGAACTTAAAATAACTCTTAGCTATCCCTGTTTCATGAATCTTGATTGAATATTGATATACATTTTCAAGAGTGATAGCGAAGAGCTATGAGAGTTGCGTGGAATGAAAGTAACTTGAGACTAAAATGATTGATGGCTTTTGAAGTGAGAGACGTTGGATATGGAGAAGCTAAAGGATAGCAAAGCATGGATAATCAAAATTATATAGGGCCATGCCCTCCAAGAGATTTTAGATCTGAAGTCAGGAGAGCCAGATTTCAGTGGTGGAGCCTGATCCCACATCTTTCAGTTAAGGATCACTGCTAATTTGTGAGTAGGTTCACATTGTGTTATTGAGGATAGTATTTATTTCCATTAAGTGCAAATTTACAAGTGTTGGCTATAACTGCTCCACAGCAAATTGTTCATTTCTCATGTGTAACGGAACATTTCTCTTAATCCTTTTGGCAGGTCATGGGAGACCAAGAACTGCCTGGTGTTCTGATCCTTGGAGTTGGAGGAGTAGAAGGTGTTCTGGAAAACCATGTGGGGCTCCTGAAAAAGAACTTTCACCTTATCACCATGAAGGAATTTCTTGAAAACAAAAAAGAACTGAGTGAAAAAATCAAATCTATTTTCATATTTGAACGCAGACCCACCATTGACCGGGGACTCCTTGAAAGCCTGCCTAACTTAAAGGTGATTGCCAACTCCGGAGTAGGAGTGGATCACCTGGACTTGAAACTGATTTCTACCTTTGGAGTGAAAGTGACTAGTACTCCACAAGCTGTATCTGACTCCACAGCAGATACAGGGATGGCCCTGATGTTGGCATCTGCCAGAAGACTAGTAGAAGGTAACCTTTTTAATTCCTTTGCTGATGTTTTTCTTCCATTTGAGCTTGTTTTGGCATTTTCCATTTTTCACTTTGTCATAGCTCACCTGGCTGAAATACTTTTTAGGAATCTATTTAGGAAGAAAAGCACTGAGGATTCAGCTTTTCAAGTGGTCCTGCTTTTCTGTTTTTCCTCTCATACCTTGTACCCAAGCCTGCTCCAGCACAAGGCACTATTCACGAGATTAAGGCCTCTGTCTAACCTGAGTGCAAACATCCAAGAAAACATTACAAACAATGAAGAATTCATTCAGCAAAAATCAACGTATTGGAAACAGGATCAGGAGGAACCCCCTGGGCCACTGAGACCTTATTCCCTGCTATTGTATGCAACTTCCATACATCACTTTAAAAAACTGGTCAAACTCCATCTTAAAAGTACTTGGATATTTGACACCCCCTTTACTCCTATGAACTATTCCAGAACTTCATTCTTTTGATGGTTTTGTGAACATTCCTTCTCTTTTTAATTTCCATCTTAAATTCCTTCATCATCAGTTTATTTCAATTTATTCACTTTTTTTTAGGCTGTCAGATTGCAGTTTCTCCAGACACTGAGCGTTTTGCTGTTGACTGGCTAGGAGTGGAAGTCACTGGGGCTACCCTTGGGATCATTGGAATGGGCAGGATTGGCTATAAAGTGGCCAAGCGGGCCAAAGCCTTTGACATGAAAATTCTGTATCACAACAGGAAACGGAGGTACAAGCACATTTATTCTGACTTGAGCTGAATCTAAGATATTTTGATAATTTAAAATGTTATTTATAGAGCATTTTCTTCCAACCTCTCCCCCCTTTTTGCTAGTTGAGGCTCAAATTCTCTTTGACTTAATTAAGTAAATAGTGCTCTTGTTGCCAGGCTCAGAAATTTCAACATGCCCTCCTAGAATGTCAGGTTGAGCAAAAGCCAAACTTCTGAGGCACAAGAGTTAATGTACAATAAACTCAAACTCTTGAAAACCAAGCATATAAATGCCCACATGGCTTTAATTTTTGCCACCCTAGAGCTAGCACTAGCCACTAGGTATTATATGTAGTCACTCCAGCCATACTCACTGTGCTAGTTGCCACTGTACAGAGTGATGAAAAGATCTGTTGAAGCTATGAATGTGATTATGATGTAATGGGGTGTAGGTTGTAGCCATGTTGGTCTAAGGACATAGGTAGACAAGGTTCCTTGGGTGAATTTGATATCTTTTATTAGACCAACGCAAATAGTTGGAGAATAGTTAATTAAGCAAGCTTTCGGGTTCAAAAAGCCTTCGTCAGGCTAAGGAAGTTTCAGCAGCTGGTGTGTGCTCTTCCTGAGCACCCCAAGGAACCTTGTCTGCATTATGATGTAATGTGAGGGCAGACTGGAGGGTCACAGTACAGGCATGTCACATATGTGCATTTAACTTGCGCGAATTCAACTATACGCGGGTGGGGAGGGGGGCGGGGCTTGAGTCTGCACGCAGCGCTGCTGCTTTCCTCGAGGG